CGATAGCAGCGGCTTTTGCTACGATGCAGCTCCTGAGAGGTGAAACTGAGCGTCGCCGCTGGTAAAGTTGCGGCAGACAAAACATCTGAGCCGAGCACCAGTTTAATCCAGCCGAATTCCGTTATATTCCGCGAAATCCATCCTAGTCCGACTTCAGGGCCCCTCAATCGGGCTCAGGCGGCCGTTCCCACGAAGCCCTCCCAAGGAGTTATCTCCGAAGGTGTGGCCCCTCCCCGAAAGCCGCGCACCAAAGGCCACTCTTGCCTACAACCGTCCTGAGGAAAAACTCGACGGATCGATTCAGACCCCCCCCCGTCCCCATCCCAAGTTGGCTCTTGACGGGGCCGCTGCCGCACTTTGGGGTCTCGATGCAGCTTTGAACGGGGGAGAGGGGCGCGGTTGCGCGAGGATGGCCCCTCTGACCAGGTGTTCCCATGAAGACTCCGATGCGATCCCGAAGCGTTCCCCGACACCCGTGGCCACATTCGTGAGGCTTTTCTGCAGGACTGTGGTAGGGCCACTCTTGCGGCTGTCCAGCCTCTGCCGTGCCGCCGCGGGTTGGCGGGAGCCATCCCCCGACCCGAGCCGGGCGAGGATGAGCAGGGCACGATCCTCGGAGGTCGGAGGCCTCGAGGGCAACGTTGGGGTGAGAGGGGAGGCTCGTGGGGGGATGCATCAGCCCCCAATCGTCCGATAGGTGTTCGAGTGTTCTGGGAGGCTCTTGGAGAGTTTCGAAGCCCAGGGTGGTTTCAATCAGCTGCGCCTCGTCGAGATCGTTTTCGGAGTGCTAGAATCGCCCCGAACGGTCGCCAGATGCTCGAGTTCTTTAGTGGCCTTCGGCCCATCCCGCTACCGTGCGTGGGTTGTGGGTCAGAGTTCTAAGGGATTCTCCTTGGGGTTTCTTCGGAGCGCTCTCCGGAGCCTCCAGGGTGCAGTTTTCTGGCCTCTTGGGGACCTCTCGGGGACATCTTGGGGGCCTCTTGGGGGCCTCCTGGGGCCTCTTGGGGGCCTGTTGGGGGCCTCTTGGGGCCTTCTGGGGGCCCCTCCCGTAGCCATTTTGGCTCAAGGCAATGAACCGTTCCGACGACCGCGAGTCTTTCGGGGCGACTTCTGAGCGCGAGGGAGGTTCCGCTTTGAGGCCACCTTCCTTTCCAACAAGTGAGAGCTGCCACTGCAGCACCCTCCAGTGCCTTCGTGGGTTCGTATCGGAGCGTGGGGCGCACCGATGGCGGGCGGCGAGGACGGCTGGGTGGTCAAAGGTGGTGGCAAGAAGAAGAAACAGTGGGACACGAGGCCCTGCACACAGTGGGGGGGAGGACACAGTGGTGCGACGCCGTCTGTGGGCGACCTACCCTGGACATGCGGGGCCTGCGGCACGGGAAGCAACTGGCCGACGCGCACGAGCCGCCGTGCGTGCGGACGGCTGCGGACAGGCAAGGGTGGTAAGGGCAAGGGCCAGGTCCAGAACAAAAAGCCCCTCCAAGGAGACGTGTACGACCCGTCCTCCACCCTGGGCCCAGGACAAGGCGAAAGAGGGAGTGGGCAAGCCCAAGACGGAGCTCGAGGTGCTGTTGGAGAAACGTAAGTGCCTCCAGGAGTTCCCTGTCATCGAGGGTGAAGACCCACCGACGTATGTCACCGAGGGGATTGCGCAGCTGGACAGGGACATCGCGAAGGCTCGCAACCTCAGGGACCAGGCGAAGCCGCTCGCCATCCAGATGCGGGAGGCTCAGGCTCTCTCGGCCAAGCGTGCGCATCAGGAGGAGGTGCTCGTACGTCAGGCCGAGAAGCTGCAGAAGGAGCTGCTCGCGGCGCAGAAGGCAGTGCAGGAGGCGCGCCAGGCGAAGGCCGAGGCCAAGGCCAACGAGCTCGCTTTGCAGGCCAAGATCGCGGCGCAGCAGCCTGCGGCCCCAGCGTCCGACCTTGATGTCTTGCGCGTCCAGCTCGAGGCGATGGTTACCAAGGCGGGTGGCATCCTCAAGGACATTGGCTTCGGCGACGTCTGGGCCAAGGTCGAGGCCCTCATCACCGCGGCAGCTGCTGAGGGTGATGCTGGTGCTGAGCCTCCTGAGCAACCTGTTTGGGGCAGTGGGGGCAAAGCCGATGAAGGCAGTGGTGGAGGATTCGTCGACGACGTGGACATGCCTGAGGGATTCACCGAGGAGGAGAAGCAGTGGGTCAATGGGGGGCCCCTGCCCCTGAGCGGTACAAGCGTTTCCAGGAAGTGCTGGTCGGGGTCCATGCGTCCCAGGTTGCGCAGAAGATGCGGATGGGGCAGCAGTCTCCTGTGCTTTGTGCTCAGCGGCGCCGACCTGGGGTATGGCGTCTCCCCGTGGCGTGCAGCTGTGGTCGATCGTCTACGGCGGCAGCGGCGGGTCCCTGGCTGGGCGGGCAGTCAGTGGGCCGCCGAGGGGTGGATCCCGCTGTCCGAGGGCAGCGAGAGGGGGGTGACGCCGAGGTGAATACCACGGGCGTTGGCTGGGCAGGGTACGCGCGCATCCTCCAGGACCCGAAGGAGAGGCGCCTGCTGATCCCACGACCGATCGAGGTCGGTGGGAGGAAGGACGTCACCCTGTGGACTTTCAACGGCTCCAGCTGGGGGGCGATCAAAGAGAAGTTGCTCGAGGACAAGGGCGACGACGGTGGGGGGCGACGGGCGCGGCGCGTCTACGCCTTCCAGGAACCTCGGCTGCTGGATGAGGCGTGGGCTGGAGTTGCAGGCAGCATGAGGGCCTGCGGATATCAGATCGGAGGTGCCACAGCCGTTCCCACTATCGGGCGCGAAGGCGAACCAGGTACCTCGGCGGGCGTAGGCTTTGCAGTGCCGAAGGACATGGGCATGTTTTATCCCTTTGGCCAAGCCAAGTGGGGCGCCTCGCCCAGGGGCTCGGCTGGACGGGCTGCGATTGTCTGGATAGCAGCGGGGCGGGGAGGTATGCTGATCGCGTCGGTCTACCCGTGGGCGGCCGAGGGCCTGTCCAACCGCAGCGTTGCCATTGTTACGAGCGTCGTGGAGATTATGGAGAGCCTGAGCATGCCACGGGTGATGGGCAGCGATTTTCAGAACCCACCTGGCGTCCTGGCAGAGGTGAAGGCCATCGAGCAGGCGGGGGCCAGGCTAGTGGCGCCCGCGACGGTGTGCGGGACGTGCCGCGCAGCTGGAGGTAGCTCGGCCATCGACTATTTCGTGGTGCCCAAGGGCTTGCGTGACACGGTTGTCAAGGTCGTGCTGCAGGAAGGGTGGCTGTCGGCGCCGTGCAAGCCAATCGGCCTCGCCCTGGATTTGAGCGTCCAGGTGAAGCGGACGAGGGCCCTGCAGAAGCCGAAGGACTTGGACGATGTCATCATAGGTTGTGCCCCTGAGCCGGCGGTTTACGACGAGGTGGGGGCTTCCGACTCGGTGGGTATTGTCACCAAGTGTTGGAGCCACTTCATGCTGAAGCTGGAGCGTGAGGCCTTTGGGCTTCGCGGGATGGTGTGGGGCCCGCAGCGTCAACAAGCAGGGTGGGCGCGTGAGCCACTTTGGCAGGTCCTGGAGGTCAAGCAGGGTGGTCGTAACCTGCCGAAGCCGACAGGGGCGGCGCTCTGGTGGGGGTGGCTTGCGAGGATTTTGGGCAACCTGAGGGGTGCCTACGACGGACTGCGCTCGAAGACGGTCAACGCTGGCCCCATCACCCAGAGGCTGGTCGATGTTCTTGCGCAGGAGAGGCTCTTTAACCTCAGCGGCACGGCTCGCAACATGAGGATGGTGGGCCAGGCCGATCGCGTGCTCTGGGCTGCGAGGTGTCAGGTGATTGCGGAAGAGCTGTGGCGCGGGACCGCGAAACAGCACATCCTGAAGGCGCTGTTGGAGGAGGCGAGAGCCGAGTCCAGGCGCTTCGATCAGGGGTTGGTCAACGAAAGGAGGAAGGAGTGGGCAGCCAAACTGGAGTCGGCGGCGAAGGGTGCGGCAGGCGGCCTTCACAGGCTCTGCGAGACAGCTGAGGTCTGGCGACCACGGCGGGCGGCATCTGCTGCTCATTCCGCGGCCCCGTTGCAGGCTGCCCAGTGCGCGTTAGATAAGTGGAGCAAAGTGTGGCGAGTGGGAGAAGAAGTGCAGACAGCTCCCAGGCCCTGGGAGTTGGAGACACGTATGGAGCTGAACCGCTTCAACGACGGGGACTTCGATCGGCTGAAAAAAAGGTCGCTCGCAGTTTCAATAAGGAGCCTGCGATAGGGTCAGACAGATGTCACCCGTCTATGTTGCAGGGCGCCTCAGACGATGCGCGCTGGACATTGCTCGCCATCCTGCGGGAGGTAGCGAAGACCCTTGTCTGGCTATCGCACGCTGCTGCGATCGATTTCTTCATCCCCAAGAATGAGCTGGTCGACCGTGCCATCGGCCTCCTGCCCACCCTGGTGAGGGTCTGGGAGATCCTGAGGGAGCCGTGCTTGCAGGCGTGGGCGAGGGAGAACCACAGGTCGTGGGACTGCGCATCCTACGGGCGCGCAGCTGAGGACGCGGCGTAGGAGGTACTTTTGGCTCATGAAGCGGACGCCCCTGGGGGCGCTGATCCTGCAGTCGCTGCCGCGATCACGGCGATCCTGGACCTGGCGAAGGCCTTCGAGAGGGTGAGTTTGCACGTCCTGTGGGGGCGGGGCAAGCGCATGGGCTTTCACACAGGGGTTCTGGCGGTGGTCTGCTCCTGTTTTGCCATGGCGCGGCGTGTCAGCACGGGGGGCGCGGTGTCGCTCGAGACGCGCGCGGTGTGCACCATCATTGCAGGCAGCAAGTTCTCGGCGGGTTTCCTTAAGATGGTGATTCAGGATGCGGTCGGTGGTTTGGTGGTTGAGCATCCGCTGGCTACGTGGCGTATGTACGTCGATGACCTCAGCATCAGGCAGAGGGGTGCGCAGCAGTGGGTGGCAGATGTTTTCCCGCTGGCGATCGACGACAGCATTGCGGGTTTTGCTGAGCTGGGCCTGGAGTTCTCCGTGGGTGCAAAGGGCAAGGGCGCGGCCATGGCTAGTACCAAGTGGCTCAGAGACGCCGTGCAGGGCGATAAGCCAGAGGGGGCTGCCAGTCGTCCGTGCCTGCCCATACCTGGGATTCGACCTGGTTTCCAGCGGCGCGGCGCTCAAGGCAAAGAGCGGCGCGCGTTTCGCCAAGATGCGGAGGCGGACGGCCAGCCTACTTCAGGTACGGCCAGGAGGTAAAGGAATGGCAAGAGGCATGGGTTTGGTGTATAAGTGTGGGCTGAAGCGGTCGGTGTTGCATGTGTGCAAGTGCTTGGGCATGCCAGATCACCAGCGTCAGCAAGTTCGTCGCGCCGCAGGCAAGCTTCTCCCAGGATCCAGGGGGGCGAAGAGCCTCACGTTGCAGTTGGCCCTCGCGAAGGAGGAGCCCACGTACGAGATCACGGCTGCTCCTGTGGTTCGTTGGTCACGCGCCGTGTGGGAGCTCACGGTGGGTGAATAAGCGGCGAGAGCAGCGCAGTGGGAGGCCCAGCAGGGGCAACATGAACGACCTGGACAGCAATACACAGGGCCAGAGGCTGGTGTACAGACCCTCACTCACCCCCACGCCACAGGCACCTTGCTCGCAGGGAGAGGTGCTGTAGGTGGTGTCGCTGCTCTGGACGAAGCACTCGGTGTCTGGGCGGCGCTGTGGATCACCGACCTTCGCGGGGTGGACTACCAAGACGTCGACGACTGGCTTGAGTGGGCGACCGTGCTTGTGGGGGTGAGGTACGAGGGGGCCTCGCAGGCAGATGTCGTAGCTACTTGCAGACGATCGTGGGCTCGGGCGCGATGGAGACGAGCGGCGGCGATCAGGTACATCAATGACCTGGACTACGTGGACCGAGTGGAGGTGCTAAAGCAGTGCAGATACGAGCGTGGCGCGGTGCAGCAGGTGCTCCGACGGCTGCTCGGTGACGTGCTGCGACGCGTTCCTGGCGATGGAGAGCGGCAGCTGGAAGCGGGCAGCGGGTGCCACAACATCGGCAGCCTCGGCGAGTTGCTGGATCTCTTCGTGCAGGTGGGGCGGCAATTGGCCATCTCGGAGGAGCGTGTCAGCGGACGACGGCGGGACCTCAGCGAGCGTGAGGACCTGCAGGAGCAACTCCAGAGGGCGTGGAAGCAGCAGCAAATCGCAGTGGGCATGCAGCCGCAGTGGGGGCGTGTCAAAGGCCCCGCTGGTGCTGTCATCATGCCCATGCGCAGAGCTGGCTGGAAGTGGCCGAAGTGGTACATTCTCCTGATGCGCAATGGGGAACAACTCAACCTATTGGAGACCTGCCCCAACGACGTCGGGATGTTATTGCAGCAGGACCTGGAGGCACAGATGTGGGCGCAGTGGACAGCAGAGCCTGGGCACGAGAGCCTGGCGCCAGCGCCTTTCTTGCAGCCCGCTAGGGCGGTGTTGGGGGCCAGGGGCTTCCCGAAGCATGCGAAGAATGCAGCGAGGAAGGTGCTCATAGACGACTCCTGGACCATGAGTAAGCTCTGTAAGCACAACATCACGCCGGCGGACATCTGCCTGGCGTGTGGCGAGGACGTGGGCACGCCGCATCACAGGTATTTCGTTTGCCCCAAGCTGCGGGGCGTGCGGAACAAGGGGCATGCAGACTGGCAGCACGTGGCGGAGCAGCAGGTCGACAGCTTGTTGTGGACGAGGGGGCTGGTGAGAGATCCGTCGGTGGACTGGCAGTTTCGCACCGTGACGGAGGAGCAGTACGATTGCGTGGTGAACGAGGGCTCCGAGGCTCACCTCACGGGTGACATCGCTTGCGACGGGTCGAAGATGGGCGGCAGCAAGTGGGCGCAGGCTGGGTGGGCAGCTGTGGCGATCAACGGAGAAGGAGCGCCAACTACCCAGCTCTGGGGCCCATTGCCGTGCCAGTACAGTGTGCAGAAGACCGTGAAGCGAGCGGAGATGTGGGCCTTCCTCAAGATTTTGGAGGTGGTGATGCCACCATGCAGGATCCACGCCGATCACCAGGGGATCGTCGACGGACTGGCTCGAGGTGCTCGTTGGTGCCTTTCCTGGAAGCGGCCACGCGCGGACTTGTGGCGTAAGATCTGGCACAGGGTGATCGACGTTGGTTTGGACCGCAGCGGCGTGGGGCACGTCAAGGCGCACCGTTCGAAGGCCACGATCAACAGGCTCGAGGAGGGCCAGCAGGCCATCGCTAGGGGCAACGCGGCAGTGGACCTCTTGGCGAATTGCGGTGCCGAGGACGACTACGGTTACGGCAGGCAGGAGGTGCTCGATAGGCTCGGGGAGAAGGTCAAGGGGGCCATCCAGAACGTCGGGTGGTGGCACCAGCAGCTGAACGGAGAGTGGCCTGATGCCCCCCCACGGCCGCCTGGGCCTAAGCGCAGGCGGCAGCAGCAGCCTCGCATCCAGCTGACGAAGCACGAGGTGGAGCAGCGTGGGCGGTGGCGTGTGTGTACGCGGTGTGGGGGGCGTGCGGCCACGGCGCGCATGAGGAAGAAGTTGTGGGAGGCGGAATGCCG